AGGATATATTTTTATTGATTTTTGAGAGAAAGAAAGGGAGAGAGAGAGAAACATCGACATCAGAGAGAAAGATTGGTCACTTGCCCCCTGTACGTGCCCCGACCAGGGATCGAACCCACCCCCAGGGTAGTGCCCTGAAGGGAGACTGAACCGGCAACCTTGTTGGTGTTTGGGACAACGCTGCAACCAGCTGAGCCACCCAGCTGACCGACCCAGCTAGTGCTGTTTAAAGCGTTTTTTAAAAACTTCACGAGATGATCTTCTGGTTCCAGATAATTTGAAGTTAGCCTTGGTCTCTGTTTGTCTCTCTCCCCAAGACCAGCAAGGAGAAAACAGATTGTGTATCTGCTTTACCTTCTGTTCTAACCCTAAATGGTTTCTCTATCTCGTATGCAACCTGTCCTCTCTTGCTCCTAATAGCCTCAACCACTTTAAGACATCTCGGCTGATGAGTATTTAATGGATTACACTCCGGGTTGATCCCAGCTCCCCCATCCATCCAATGTTACCAAGTCATTTTTATGTATCTGGCGTGGTGCAAGGGCCTGGCGACAGGAAGGTGAATGAGGCGGAGCTTTCCTCCTCTAGGAACTCACAGGCTAGTGACGAGACAGATGCATAAACAGGAAATGGTGCTATTAGTGGGCGCTGTGAAAAAAACCGTGCATCTATTCAACAAACACGTTAATAATCCCTTACCCTGTGCATGTCTTATGCTGGTACAATACAGAAATGAATAAAATGTCTTTGTATTTTTTTAAATTAATCCTCATCCAAGGATATGTTTACTAGTTTTTAGACAGAGTAGAAGGGAGAGAGAGAGAGAGAAAGAGATCAGTGTGACAGGGAAACACCAGTCACCTGCTTCTTATACGTGCCCTGAGTGGGGATCAAACCCACAACCTTGGTGCGTGCCCTGACTGAGAATTAAACCAGCAACCTTTTGGTGGTGTATGAGATGGTGCTCCAACCAACTGAGCCACCCGGCCAGGACAACAAAATGTCTTTCTATTTTTAAGGAGTCTCTAGAGAAGGAGGTGGATAGGTCAGCAATCACAATTTAGGACATAGAAGTCGGCACGAGGTTCCCATGGGGGCCGAGAGTATGGTTCCTGTTAGACTGAGCGGTGGAGGAAAGTTTCCTACAGAATGTGTATAAAACACGAGAAGGCTGAGCGATGGTTTCAGGCAGAAGGGGAAACATGCAGAAAGGCACAGTGGCTTGGGAAGCGTGATGCCTTCGAGAAACCCAAAGCAGCTCAGCACGCCTGGTGCACCAGTGAGGGGACAAGTGAAAGCACAGCCTGGAGCGGCAGGCAGAGGCCAGGATGCAGGCGCTGGAGAACCAGGGTCACTCCAACCTGGGAAGCGGTCTGATCGGACCTGCATTCCAGAAAGATCATTCCAGCAGCAGTGGGTGGATTGGCACATATAGGGGCACCCTGGGAGCAAGACAATGAACCTGGAGACTGTTTGACAGTTCTCTTCAAATGGGAAATAATGAGGGATCGAATTCAGGTGATATTATCGGGGATAGAGAGGAGGTGGCCTTGGAAGGCATAAAGGAGTGAATTGTGTCTTCCTCTGAAAAAAACGTTATGTCGATAACGTTTGGAGGTACAGTCCTAACCCCTGTACCTCAGAATGGGGCTGTGTTTGGAGACAGAGTCTTTACAGAGGTGATTACGGTCAAGGTCCGCAGGGTAACCTCTGATCCCAGAGGACTGCTTTGCTTGTAAGACTTGGACACAGAGGCATACAGCAGGAAGACCAGGTGACAACGCTGGGAGAAGATGACCATGGACCAGCCAATGAGAGAGGCCTCAGACCTTACGGGCAAGAAGGGGCTGGAAAGAGGAATTCCAAGTCATGAAATCCAAAGACCTACAACCAAGATTGCTCTATCCAGCAAAGTTTTCATTTAGAATGGAAGGACTGATAAAGTGCTTCTCAGATAAGATCAAATTCAAGGAGTTCATCATCACCGAGCCCTTATTATATGAAATGTTAAAGGGACTTACCTAAGAAAAAGAAGTTAAAAAAACATGAACAGTGAAAGGACAGCAAACTCACAGTTATTAACAACCACACCTAAAACAAAAGCAAACTAAAAGGACAGCTAGATCAGGAGTGGAAACATAGAAATGAAGATCTCAAGGAGGGTTAGCAACAGGGGAGTGGGAGGAGGAGAAGGGGGGCAAAGGTACAGAAAATAAGTAGCATAGACAGTAGATAGAAAATAGATGGGGGGGCAAGAATAGGATGGGAAATATAGAATCTAAAGAACTTGAGACACATGGTCATAAACTAAAGGGGGGTAATGGTGGGGACGGGGGGTAGGGTGGAGGGGAATGAAGGGGGGAATAGAACAACTGTAATGGCATAATCAACCAATCAATAATGAAAAGAAAAGAAAAGAAAAAAATAACAAAGTATACAATCCAAAAAAAAAAAAAGAAACTGACCCTGCTGATGCTGTGATCTTGGACTTCCAGCCTCCAGAATTGTGAGGAAATACGTTTCTGTCATTTAAGACACGGGGTCTGTGGCACTGTTATGGGAACCAGAGCAAACTAACACGAGGAGGACGAATCGGGAGGCTTGGGGACCATGGGGAAGAGAGAGCAGAGGGTGACGTTCAGGTCTCTGACTTGGGCGATCTGGCACGGGGTGCAGCCGTGTTCCAGGAGGGTTGGCCCAGGGAGAGCCGGGGGTCACAAATGAGAGATGGTGTGCTGCAGCTCAGACATGTTCAGTTCTGGGTCCGTGTAGGGCCACAGGCGGAGACGCCCAAGCAGCTGGACGTGTGGGGTGGGGCTCAGTCAGGAGGTATGGCCCGGGGACATGGAGATCTTCAGACGTAAGGGCAGTTGAAGCAGAGGAGTGGGCAAGGCCACTGGGGACATCGGCACTGTGAGGAGGCAGAGGGCTGAGCCCCTGAGAACCCCATCACTGGCGGGAGAGGTGAAAGAACAGCCCGGCACAGTGGGAAGCATTAGGCATTTTTCAGAGAAGAAAGTGTCAGGACAGGCTCTTGGGGGAGGAAGGGGACGGGATGAAAGACGGTGAAGGGATTAACTAAAGAACCTTTATGCACAACCCCTGGACCGAGACAGATTCAGGGACTGATTTAGGGAGGGGAGAGGGTGGGGCTGGGTGGAGGTGGGGAAGGGGAGAAATAAACAATAAAAAGAAAAGAACGAAAATAGAGGTTCTCAAAACCTGGAGAGATCATGTTTCAAAGTCTCTCTTCTCCCTCTCACATACACTCTCTCACACTCACACACACACACACACTCACACACACGTTTATGTTACTATGCCATTTTGCAGTGTCGGTTGTTCCTTTGCAATGAATTGTCCCATTATTTTATGTTCACTGATCTTCTGCTTTCAGGGTCAGATCCAGAGCGATGTCCCTCCTGGTGGGTAAGCTCCTCCTGACAGAAGCGACCCCCGGTCGGTCACTTTACCACTCACTCAGGGGCATCTTGGTGGGTTGTCTTGTTTATCCCCCAGGGCTCCCCTTAGCCCGCCCCTGATGACGATGGGTAAATGGAGGAGGCTCAGTGACCCTGCTCTGGGGTGTGTGAGGAGAGGCTGCTCTGTTTAGGGCACGTTGAGGAGCTGGGCGGAAACCCTGTGTCTGTAGGGAGGGGGCCCTGTACAGAAGTTACTGAAATCACTGCTCTCCCTTCCCCAGCCGCCCAGACTGGGGAGAATCCAGTTAGCACGGGCGCTTTGTAGGTTCCAGGCGCCACCCTTTTACTTACTCTGGGGAAAGGGAAGGCACGTGGACCCCTGTCATCTGCTCCCGTCCAACTCAGGGAGAGGCGCCACAAAGAAAGGTACGTTCCCCAGAGTCACATGAGGAATGAAGGACCCAGGCCTTGGGCCTGGCTCTGGCTGACTAAAGATCCTGCTGCTGCTGCATGACCTTCTCCTCTGCTGTCTGCTCCAAGCACCTAGTCCTCCCGTCCCGTCCTTTCCCCGCATGGAGTGCGCCATGCTGACTCCAGCAGCGCATGCATCAACCCTGGAATCATCCTGCCTCAGTCCTTTATCCAGAAATAAGCTGTCATTCGGCCGGCACCCTGTGAACCAGTCAGCCCATTAGTGGGGGTTACTATCCAGGGTCCTCCTCCTCCAGGCTATGGGGGGAATGCCAGAAACACTGCGAAGAGAGTGAGCTTTATGCCTTAAGAATATCCTGTCCTGTTGGGAACCTGAGCCCGGGGTGAAATGTTGCAGATGAGCTTTTCTCTCAAACCCACTCACCCGACAGCAATAGCCTATGGAATGCACATTCGGTGGTTTTTTTTAGAGTCTCAAATAATTGCGAGGTGGCCAGGCAGGCCGTCCCCCCTGTCACTGAAATGAAACAGAAGAGCTGTGTCCACCCAGCTGGGCAGTCTCGGCGCCTGCGGCGAGGGCGGTCTTGAGGGACAAACTTGGCACTCTCCTCCAGTGTCCGAGACTCCCTCAGCCTTTCTGAGGCCCCTCAGCATGACTGTCCTGCACGAGAGACACCACTAGTGCTCAGCCAGCCTGAGCGTCAGCAGCCAGCAGGCAAGGGGACTCGCAGCCTCCCGCTTCTGGGCATGGCCCTGACACTTTGAGCTGTCCCAGGCCCTTCTTATTTGGAGATGGGATCTCCATCCCTGGTGCCCCTTCCACAGAGTCAGGAGGGCCAGACGTGCACTGAATACCAGCCCTGAAGCAGGGGCCTGGGAAGCTTCTCTGTGTCACTGTCTCACCAGGTCAGGGCTTGGAAAGGCGGCTCTGCGTGCCTGGTCCCTGGCCGGCTGGGAGCAGGCCTCCCCTGTGCCTGCAGGGGCGTCTGCACAGCCATGCGTTTCCTCATACCTGAGCCGTCCACAGCGCACGCACCACTCCCGGCCGGGGCTCATTATTTAAGACCAGCACACCAGAGGAGCTGGCCGTGAGTCACAGCACCAGCAGGGCAGAGGCAGCGCAGCTCACCCGGCTCCCCGAGCACGTGGGAAGGGACCCCTCCCCTCGCCATGGCATCCCTGGGGCAGATCATCTTCTGGAGGTAATGCACACTTCTCTCTCCTTGCAGGTGAAGGGCACGGGGGTGGGTCTTGGGGGTGTTGAGACTGCTGGGCTGGCCCATAGCTCCCTACCTGGATTCTTATTTGATCCAGCATTGGGCTGGCAGGAGCCTGGCCAGACAAGAACCTAACTGACACCCCAGCCACTTGGGGCACCTGTTCAGGGTTAGGTTGGCTTTCTGTTGTGGAGGGCTGACACCTGCTGGGACAGCTCTGGACCAAGGAGTGAGGGTGCCCGACTGGGGGGCTGCACTTAGACACAAGGCTCTTGTGGGGGCACCGAGCAGGGTGGCATGGATGCTTGGTAGGGGGGAAGGGAATCGGTGACTGAGGATGGGTAGGATGCAGGGGAACATTCTAAATAGCCCCAGGAGGAAGGAGGGGGCTGTGTAGGCTTTGACACTTCTCCGTGGGGGCCATGTCTCTGTACTGCTGGGTAATTCACTCTAACACCCCGTCCCACCCCCCAGCCCCAGGGTGGGGTCTCTCGTCTTCTTGGGGCTCCTTGGAGAGGAGACTCCTGCTGCTGCTGCAGCTGAGAAAATGGGCCTTTGCAGGAGGCCAGAGGCAGCCCACCTGGGGGCTGGTGGGGGAGTTAGGGAGAGACAGACAAAGAAACAACCGGAGTGGGCTGTGTGAAGTGCTGTTGAGCAGGCGGATGAGCAGAGCTGAGAGGTGGAGAGCCCCGCTGACAGGAGGGGCGCTGGGACCAGCAGAACCCCCCCGAGTCCCACCCCGCCTACTGCTCCTCTCACTGAGCTTCCTCTGGTTGCTTCTTTCCCTCAGGACACCGCTTACCTCTCTGGAAGGAAAGAGGTGGAAAGTGAAGGAAGGGTTCTCCTGAAATGGTTGTTGATTGGATGTTGTCACAACTCCTGACAGGGTGTAGGAAGACTGAGTGGTTTGTGTCTCTTCCAGTGAGAGGAAGAAAGAGAGAGGAGAGAAAACCTCAGCTTAACAGAAAAGTCTGTGAAGAGACTGAGAGAACATTACTTCCCAGCAACAGCCTAGAAAATTCTCTTCCTAAAACACAATGTCAGCTCCCTCCCTGTGTCCACCTGCAATGGCCCGGCCTGCAGCAGGAGCTGGGGTGGCGTGGGGGTGGGGACGTCGCTGTGTGACGCTCAGGGCTGTCTGGCAGTGCTCCGCTGCCCGTGCCCCACAAGGGCACTCTGCCACTGGAAAGGCAGCAGGTGTGTGGGGGTGAGGGGGAGTGGGTGGGGGAGGCTTTCGTCTGGACTCCTCCACCCTGCAAGAATGTCCCCCAAACACCTACGTCAGTGGAACTGGTGCTTTGCCAGTGCCTTCCATCTCCCTGCCCTGGGCTAGGCTATGCTGTACAGTGGCCTCCTTTAATCCTCGCAGCAGCCTGTGAGGGTTCATTGTCACCTCAGAGAACTTAGGTCAAGTGCTCAAGGCCACACAGCCTGTAAGAAGCAGGGCAGCATTCACATCCCCTCCACCTGCCTCTGAAACCCAAGCTCTCCCTCTGGCACTTTGCTCGACCCGCTCCCTGGCCATCCCAGCTCCTCCAGCCCCCTCTTCCATACCTTGGTCCCATAGATGTGAAAGTCCCCATGCAACAAATGGTTCTGTTGTCCCCAATATGTGGGTTTCTAATGATACATTACAACCAGCCTCACTGGTTTTGCAGGAGGATTAGCAGGAGGTGGGTGTTCAAAATGTGGGTCCCCTGCGCTTCAGAGACCCGTTGGAGTTCACAGAGGCTCCTGTTCTTGGCCCTAGATTAGCATTTCACGCTCTACAGTTGCCAACGCAGTGATAATCCACAGGGGCAGCAGATCCTTTGTACAAAGGGGCCACCAGGAAGAGGGTTAATGGGCAGGCTTGTTGGGAAGCAGGGGCTGGAGAGCGCGTCCCAGGGAAGCAGGGGGAGCCCACCTGGGGGAACCTGGTGTCCACACTTGGCCCTAAACAACCCTGTCTTCGCCATAATTCCTTCATTCATAACAACACTGTAGTGAAGTGATCGTGGCCATCAGTGGAGTAGGGGAGCTCGTGGGAGGGCCTGCCGTGCTCTGTGGACCCAGGGGATTAGTCTCCTAAATAATTACCAGGGAGCTTACAACCTTCAAATCTCATGCTCAAATGCATGCCCCAAAGGGAGAGAAGGCTGGAGTGCAGGTTCCACTGTGCCTAGCCTTTCTGGGACATTTACGAGCTGTGTGGTCAAAACTCCACTCCCCTTTCCCATCATGGCAGTCAGTGGGCACAGCCCTCACCCATGGAACATTTGCTGAGTGTTTGCTAAGAGTCTAAGGATGGAAACGTCAGGATCCCTGCTCTGCAACAATCATGTTCTGGTCAACAACATTAACTGGGCACTTACTATGTGCTGGGCATTGCACCATTGTACTATGGCAAAGATGACTCAGACACTGACAGATTGTAGGCCAACAGGGAGAGAGGCTACTAAATAGTGGGTTATGGAACAATAATTCCATAGTCGTTCATAAACCATGAGACAATCAGGGCAGGGTGCGCTTCCCTAACTGGAGGCCCAGGGGAAGGTTTCCTGAGCCAGGTGATGGCTGGACTTAGTTTTTTAGGGGGTTGGTGACAGTGCTAAGTCTTGAAGATTGAGTTGGCATGATCCAGGTAAAGAAGAGTGGGAAGGACACTCTAGGCAAAGAAATTGGATAGAATAGGATAGAACTGGGTAGACTAGCATAGGCCGGGATAACAGAACAAAACTCATGAACTACCACCCGGGCTGGTAAGCTATGAGCTACTCTGTCATCATCAGAGCATGAAGTCTCAGGAAGGGGGGAGCTGAAATGAGGCTGAAGAAGCCGAGCCAGGTGGTGCTGGTCCCTACCGACCAGACTTACGGGTCAGGAACGCTTGAGGGCTGTCAAGCAGGGGAATCCTTCTGGTTTTCCTCTTCGGTGGGTTACCCCAGAGGCAGCATGGAGGATGGCTATGTGGGAGCCATGAAGCAAGGAGAACAGCAGGAAAACAGCTGCAGCCACAAATAGAAGGAATGAGAAGGACCTGAAGCTGAGAGTGACAGCAGGGACCCAGAGGGAGACAACCTATTTAAGAAACATTGAGGATAAATGTTGGTATTTGATAAAATGAATGGAGGTGATATTGGTGATATTTGATGAATGAATGGAGTGGCAGGCAGCAGAGAATGAGGCATAGGGTGGAACCTGGAAGACCCCCGTGTTTCCAGATCGGGCAGAGTGAGTTGGGGAAGAAGAAGAGAGATGAGAGTTAACTTTGGCACATGCTGACTCTGAGGTTCCCCTGGGACTTCCCGGTGGAGATGCTCAGCGGGCATGGGAAGGTTTGAGGATGAGACAAGGAGAGGGCAGGCCTGGAGATACCAATCTGGGGGTCGATGATCTGGGGTGTTTTCTAAGGAAAGGAGAAGGGCCTGGGATGGGAAACTAAAGAACACTAACATTTAATGGCAGGCAGATGACGCAGGGACAAAGAAAGAGTTGGGAGTAAATGGTGGGAAGGTAAGAAGAGATCAGGAAAAGTCTCATGGACCTCAATAGAGCAGAGTTTCATGGGGCTCACAGAGCTGGTGGGAGTGTAATATAGGCCCAGTCCATCCTGGCACTGATGGGGAGATCCAGTCCAGACACAACCACGGCCTATGCAGCATTTAAACAGAACTCATGTGGCTTTGCCCACAATGTGAGAAAGACATGCTACCAAGTAGTCCCTGCACCCAAATGAGGCCAAGAAGGAACAAAGATCCTCTAAGTGTAGGCTGAAGGAGGGCTCATGGTTACATTGAGCACACACAGTTGCAAAGAATACCAGGTAGCTGTAACAACTCGTAGCTCTGCTTCCAGAAAGCAGAGCTACAAGTTCAAGCAGAAGTGAGGCCCAGTCGGCATGGATTTCAAATTGCTACTCTGCCATCCTTCCTTCCTCCCATCTTCCCCTGCCTTATTTCCTTCCTCCCTTCCTTTTCCCTGGATTCTTCATCTGTCCCACTCTGGCTCTTCTGTCTGAAGAGAGGTCTTTGGAGCATTTAAAATTGGGGGAAACGACCCATGACAATGGGATTGATGAAAACATGTCAAAGGAAGGGTGGAGAATGAGGAATCCTTCTACCAGAGAAAGGTGGATGAAAGAGAATGAGGAAGGCTAGAACAAGGGAGGCTCAAGGAGCTTTGCTCACTTGGGAATCTTGGTTTCCCATTGCCTTGAGCTTTTAAGCTGGTACCTGGACCAGACCTTGGTGGCCAGAGACAAGGGTGCTTGGCAACCCAATAAAAGTTGACCTGGTGAGAAAATCTTATCTCCAAAGGGAGATCTCAGCACAGGCCATGTTGACACTTGGAACCACACTGAGATAGAAGACGGGCCCAGCTTTCAGACTCTTTAAACCTATAAAATCTGAGGCTTCAGGACCTTTGGAGCCCATTCCCATGAATAGGACAGAAAGATGGACAATGAGATCAATTGCACATTGGAAGCAACACTTAAACAGGTGGCACTGTGTTCCTGTCCCATCAGGAGTACACTATCTTCTGAGCATGGGTCTCTTTTCCTGTCTTCACCTGTAGTGACACTACCCATTTCTTTCACCGTTCGCCCAAATGCCATTTCCACTTGGAAGTCTTCCTGGATCTTTCTAGTTGCCATTAATTGCTCCTTTTGTGTTTGCAGCTGGCCAGGTTGATGACTATCTATCTGTGCCCTGTGCCTTTTCCCTCAGGGGGGTTAGGAGGGTCTGGCCTTCATCATGTTCCTTATTGTAGGGAGACGGTGTAGCACCAGGGCTGTGTATCTGGGACCTGGAACCAGACTGCATCAGAGGTTCAGATCCTCATGTCACTGTGAACACTCAACCTCCATGAGCCTCAATTTCCCTGCCAACAAGATGAGTCTGATAACAGAACCTGATCCCAGGGTCTTGTGATGAGCTATGGCAATTACGTGCTTGGCGATTATATGCTCTAAAGACTCAGAGCTATTGCTAGAGTCTTTATTT